TTGACGCCTTGTTACAATTTGTATCGGCACTCGCACTGATGCACCGTACTTGTACAACTGAATTGAAATAAATGTTCAGACAGCCATTTTACAGTTTATAGTATTGCAACTTTTCACCTTGTGAACATTCAATGACTGCCGCTGAAAATTTCACTTTAGAATAAATTTCACTTTATAAGCAGACTAAAACGTGTCCTATAGCATATGGAACGATGTTGACTCTTTCTGACGACTACCCAGTAATTGCGTTCAATTTGGTCCGAGCCAGAGGCTTGGAAATCCCAAAGTTCCTTTGAGGCGCTCAAGAAACCATAAACTGTTCAAAGTTTGTTGTTCAACAGTTGGGCCGGCGCATTTGAGCGTGACGAATTCCTAGAATTTTCGTCTTCCGCTTTTTCTCGGAAAGAGTGAATATAGCAATACAATAAACGTTCATTCGCCTCAACAACAAAACGTCATACAAGTTACAGTCCAAATGAAAGAGAAAAAAAATCAAGTAACTAAGTAATATGCATGCTACGCAAGTTGCAAAACAAGCAAATTTTCGTAATTTTTCCCGAATCAATCAGTCTAAATACATCATTTAACACTAAAGGCATTTTCCACTATCGCGAAAAACTTCGGAAAAGACGCGAAATAATAATCCTCTACACAGTACATGGTTTCAATGTTAGACATTCGTTTTTTACACTACATTTCTCAATTCTTAAATCCAAAAGAGATAGCTTTTAGCACGCGTAACAACTACATGCACGTTCTACTTTTAAAATTTCACGCTTTGGCTAAGCTTCGTAGTTGTTTATAGTATACAGTTTGAGCCTTGGTCGTTCGAGGCAGCGGCCGTGCGGCGGAAGTTAAAACGGATACGGATACTAAGTCACGCGATTTCAAACATCACGCGAATCCCTAGGATTCTTATAACGGACGTCTCAGGAAACAGCGGCAACAATCATTCTTAGCATGGCATGGCATCATAAGCTATAGATATATAGAAAAGCTGCGCTTTTTTAACTTAAAAGGCTACTTAAAACAAGAAAAAATAAAGCAAATGCAGCTAATTTGACCCACGCGCTTTCAACGGTCCAGTTTCCACGTTTTTATGTAGCAAGTGCCTTAGAAGAATTAGACTTACAAAAAATTCTTTCGTCCGATTTATTATGGCGAGGGACGAAGCTCGGCAGCTTTGCAACCTAAAACTCTCCCTCCGCTCGCTAAGAAGCCCGTGAGGTCGACTTTTAATAAGTCTACAAGTGTCTTTGNTAATTTGACCCACGCGCTTTCAACGGTCCAGTTTCCACGTTTTTATGTAGCAAGTGCCTTAGAAGAATTAGACTTACAAAAAATTCTTTCGTCCGATTTATTATGGCGAGGGACGAAGCTCGGCAGCTTTGCAACCTAAAACTCTCCCTCCGCTCGCTAAGAAGCCCGTGAGGTCGACTTTTAATAAGTCTACAAGTGTCTTTGATGGGTCTTTATTTTGGGTCGGTTTTATTAGCGAAATTAGCAGGCGGCCATGACAAGGGCTCACGAGATTAGTTAGCCATGGAACCTTTCCTCAAAACGAAAGAGCTGCGACAAAAAGGGTTCCAATAAAATAAAAAGTTTTAAGGAGGTGCAAGGCTACTGAAAGAAACTACCTTAGAAGCACTGTTTATCGGTCGACAAGAGATGCATAGGCGAAATGAATAATCCCGGTGTTCTTGATTGTGGCTTTTGCTTAAAGGTGCGGTAAATCGAATCCCATGATTTCTTTTCGTAACTGTAACAAGACAATAATACGTATCAGCGGAAATTAAATAGGCCACAATTGCCAATCTGAAATTGACGAAATTTTTATTAACGTTTCTAGCAAAGTCAGTTGCAAAGTTTGGGAATTCAACAGGCCTCCAGAACTTGACTACAAAATTTCTCTCTTTCACTTTTCTTTCCTTTGCGAAATACTTTGAAAAGTTTGTGACTGCGAGTGTAGAAGAGTAGTTGTTGTTTCGTCGCATCTAAGAAGTGTAATTAGATCTGGGAGTATTTGCCACTAGTTTTGGTCATTAACAGCGCACACAAAAAAGGAAGTTGTTTTAATCATGACAAATGGATGGCACTCCACGCAGGGCGATGCCCCAGACCCGGTCGAGGTTCTCTATCTTGTTCCCCGCTTCGCAGTTTAAGTTCTTATGAGAAGAAAGAACAAAGAGAATCTTTGGAAAAAGCTAGCAAGGTTGGCGAAATCAAAGGAAAATAGTTCCTTAGAAAACGTTTGCTTCGTTAGCTTGATTACGAGGCTTAACAAAAATAGAGGTATTTAATATGTGATTTACAGTTTATTGAAAAAACGAAAAAACAAAATAAAGACAGAAAAAGAAAGAAAGAAAAATAAATAACATAATCCAAAAAAAATAATAATTGTTTTCTTCCTGTTATACTGAGAAAGGTAATATTTCACGTTTTCCTCAAAAGTGTTCCTCAATGCCTCTTAATGCCAACCTTTCCTTAGCAACCATAAGTAATACAATCTATGGCCAAGCATTTTGAGGAACTGGAGGTAGAAGTCCTCTCCAGAATTTGGGGAAATTATGATGACTAAATGGAGGTCATGAGCCACCAATTTTATGTCCTTCCAAGAATTTATCTATAGCAGACACATTGGCATTTCTTTCCAAAACTCTGTGAATGTGCAGGTCTCAGAATAGAACCTCTCCATTGTGTACAATGTTAAAAGCACAACCGCAACTCTTTCCAGACGGAACACATATTTTAATCAACATCATGGACACCTTTTCTCTGAATGTCCTGTGAGGAAAGAATAACAAAGCAATAAGAAGAAAAGAATAACCATACAATACAATGATGATATCAGAAGTAACCATAAATAACAAGTTGTTAACTTTATAAAAAAAATTAAGATATTTATAATGCCCTTCTCTTTTTCAAATTTAAAGTCTCCTAAAAATGAAAGAAGCCTAAAGGGAACAGGATCTTCTTGCAATAATAGAACTTTTAATGTTGATGCTGATAATGATGATGATGATGATGATGATGATGATGATGATAATGCTGGTGATGATTATGGTAGTGGTGGTTGTGGAGGTGTTAATAGGGAGCTTGAGCAACGACGACGACGACCACAAGGACGACTTCAAAAAAGGAATAGGTTTAATGATCAAAGCAACCACTCTGCACGTGCATCAGCCTTTTAAGTACATTTCTTTGACGTCCACTGCATGACTATGATGTGAAGCCTCCTAATTTGACATTTTATAGAGGAGGTGGACATATGACAACAAATTTTCCTTCCTCTTTTTGAACCTGAATGAAATCCTTTAAGAATTCAACTCCAGGAAAAGTCGCCTGCATTTGACACATTGAGGGAGTCCAAATACAATTAAGTTTGAAAGAACGCAAATTCATTTTTTCACTGACGGTTTCACCGCCATCGTCATCGTCCTTGCTTAAGGTCACTAATGATGATGATGGTGGTGGAGGTAGTGGTATTGGTAGTAGAGCTGTTAATAATGATGATGATGATGATGATGATGATGATGATGACCAACATTGCAGGTCAGCTTATGACATATAATATTGCTGTGGATATGTTCCCATCATTTATTAAATCAGTTAAAGAGAAACCATGATGTTACAATCCTTTAGGATATGTAGTCCGGCACAAAAAGCTCTGTGGCCAATGATTCCTACTGATGCCATATTCTGTCTAAAACACCAGAGAACATTTTGAAAAAAAATTGGCTAATGAGCGACTGATCCTTCCACAATGCCCCTCAACCCCAACCACAGGATAACCAGAAAATCCTTTTTCATACTTGCATAAAAACAGAAGTGATACTGTCTGATAGAGTTAAACTGTCTAACATATTAAACAAAATCAGCACTCCATATAATCTGAAAGTTGGAAACTTCCACATTAAAATATACCAGTTTAGTGGAGACTACACTTATTTCAATGTACCTTCTGGATTTCTTCAGGGAATTCCATCAGGTTATTTTCAACACAAGAAACACAAAATCTCTTTGTGTAGAAAATACTGCATGTCTAAAAGTAGAGAAGAAAAACTAATGAAAAATTTCCAACCAAGCTTATTAGTAAAATGGTTAGTCTCTCTCTGAAGTAAATACCAGTGAGAAGAAAGGAGGCCCTTTACTGCCAGTATTTTTGATTACAAAAAAAATAATAATAATGTACTTGACTTTAGGTTTAGACTAATCCTAAATTATCAGTATCACTGCAACATAAATCAGCAGTACAGGGGTAATTTTCAGTGCGGAAATGAACATTACTATAAACCCCCTGCGGGGGGGGAGGGAGGGGATGGTGGGGTGGGGGTGGGTATACCTTATATAAGCCATAAGCCATATAGGTAAATGCCACCCCATCAGGTAGGGGTTTTGCGCCGTTATGGTCTAAAAACGGGTATACACTTCGCCCATTTTGGTCTGGAATCTGGTATGGTTTTTGAGGGAACTATATGGAGTGTATGAACGCATTTATCATTTCAATCCCAAACCAGTAAGAAAGAAAGAGAAATATGCAAATTCCAAATGCATTGGAATAATTTTTTTGTTTGTGCTCTAATCTAAGTAATGTTAACATAATTTCTGCCTAAAGGCCAGGTCTGAAATCGGGTACTGGATTTTAGAGATCTAGTCTAAAAACGGGTGTGGAAAATTGCACTTTTTGGTCTGATATCGGGTCAGGATTTGAAGAACCAGGCAGCCAACTCCCATCAAGAATTCCCAGGAATACCCCCCCCCCCGCCCCCCCCTGGGCATAAACCAAATCCCACTCAGCGAGAAGAGCCTTTCTTTCACTTGCTTGATTTTGGCATACTTGAGAAAGACACTCCAGGAATCGCACAAGATCTTTGTGGAGCATGTACAGCATGTTGGTGGGAGATTATTTTGAACCCAGGCCTAATAGTTGTGCCCTTTGTCCATCAGGCTCAGTTAAAGAGATGCCAACCTTTGGAGATCTAAAATCTGAAGAATCTATCTCTTGCAGTCACGGTATTCTGTAGTTAAGCCTTACCGGGGCCACACAAATGTCTTTTGAGCACAAACAACACTGTCCACCAAGAGTCAAGTGCCCTGTGGTTGGCGAGAAGGGGTCACGGATAACATACGCATCTTCCAAAAGTCTATGAGAAAAGTTCATTGCTATGAGTTAATGCTCTTTCTTGTCAGTCCCTAAAAATTACATATTGACACAAAACAAAAGATCATACATCACAGACTTAGAAAAAGGAGGCCTCTTTCCAAAATATTCATAATAGCATTCAAAACCACAAGAAGAGCATTTAAAAGTTACTTTGTCAGGGTTTTCACAAGCCTCTTCGTTCGCCATTTTGATTTAGTTGCGCCCGTAATGCTCATTAACAGCGGCAATATATCTCTTCATTTAAGAGAACACAGGGTGTCTTTTCCAACCGGAAACGGAATCACGAAAACGGAAACGGAAATGAAAAGGGAAACGGAAACGGAAACGGAAACGGAATACGGAATCCGTGAAAGGTTTCAAACGATCGATTTGAAAAAAAAAATAATGACAATTACAATACAATAAATAAACAGATAAAATAAATATATAAATCAATAGATCACTTGGCATGCATTGGCAGAGGCGACTACTGTGTGACAAGAGGAGTCGATTCTGGTGAAAAGACTCTTCATACCACTTCGGTAATGAATGCTAATTCACATAGGGCAGCAAAGCGAGGAGAAAAACTTCAGCTGAGAAGGCGTCACTGACAACTAGTTCCTTTAGAAGGAGGTAAGTTTTATGGAGAGAGACTTGTTGAAGACGGCGTCGTCGTCAAGTTTTCCTTGAGTGTCTCTTCTGAGTTGTCTTTAGCCTGTTCCAGGCGTTCAGATAGTAGAGCGCGGGAGAAAAATTCACGAAGAAAAAAAACGAGGGGAGACTAGAGGGGGAAAGGGGGAGAAAGCAGCGCTCTCTCGCTCTCGCCCCGCCCCCCTCGTTTTCCCAGTGTACAACCTAACTCGCTCCCCACTTACCGCCGCGCTCTACTGTCTGGACGCCTGGAACAGGCTAGGTTGTCTTCAAAACTCTTTAATTTTATTTATCCAAAACAACTTACTCAAGAGAACTATGGCATTGTGGAGTCCAAAGAGAAGAGAGAATTGTGCATGCCTTTGCTTGAGTCCGCAACTGATTACATAAAAATAATGCGCCATGTTTAATAAGCCTCTTCAACGTAAAATACAGACGTCAACGCAAACTCAATTACACCCAACCTCGTCCCCAGGGCTTTTCCCTTAAAAAATGGGTGGGGCGCCCCACCCATTTTTTAAGGGAAAAGCCCTGGGGACGAGGTTGAATTACACCAGTATTCCATCAGCATTCCGCTTGGCGAAAAAGTACAACTTATTGTTAAAACGCCTGAACTGTGGTCACCTCACGAGTCGGTCACGTAGTGGGGATAATCACGTAGTGTGTTAAATTGTAAAATTTCTTTATCGGCCTTGTAGTGCAATAAATAAAACTATGGCACATCTTTAAAAGACATACTAACAAGAATATATTTAAGGAAACTGCAAAGACAAACTAAAACAAATTCTCTTTGGATTGTACTAACTTATGCAATGTGAAATTCTTTAATTTTCAATCATTGGTATTTGATTCCGTATAGTCCGTTTCCGGATTCTATGTTTTAGTGCTGCCGCTTTGGAAAATCGTTGTAGCCATGAAAAGTTTAAGGGCAAGATCCACAGGTTTTCGTTGAACTGCAGATTCAAACAGACAACCTGTCCAACAGGACAACTGAGTTTGAAGTAAGCGGGTAATGTATTAGCCTGAATTTCAGACGTCCCCTCGAGGCCGCATACCGAGGGGACGTCTGATATTCAGGCTAGGAAGGCATTTCATTAGAAAGTATAGTATACTTGCATTCGAAGACTTAGCCGCCGGGACTAAATCCAGTATTTTTTCATTCCCGTATCGTGCAAGCGGCTAATCTGTTACCCCGATAATGCCTGGTCGCAATTGTTAACATCGTCGTTTAGCAATAAACATTGGCAGGTTTGGATTATGTCGTTAACCTAATAGTAATGAGGTGTTACTCATGACGTGTAACGATGTCATAAGAAGTCACTTGTAACACCGCCGGTGTATCGTAAGCACGTCGCACTCGTTCGATAAAGTTGTACCGTGTAAATCAGCCTGTAGACAGCTGACAGCTTTACCCCGCTTGGGAGACTCCAACAACAACGGACCAAAACTACCACCCTAGGCTGAAGGATAGCCTGAAATTCAGGCCCCAGAGGACACTGATACAGTCTTAAACGCGCAAGTGAGATTACAACTTTAAAATGAACCGGAACATCCTTATCATGCTAGAACGTTACGCTAGAGGCAGGAGTTATAGATCTTTACTATACCAAAACGGTTTCCAATTTTGAAAAACATTTTTATCCATATAATATTTTAATTTGCCTTGATGAAGGGTGAGTATAACGATATCTGTCCTCGTTACATGCCGCTCTTAACACTTTTCAACATTCTAACACTCTGTCTTTAATATAAACGTCTACGCTACTTCCAACGAATCCTAGAAAGTTAAAAAAGACCTCTTTAAAGTTCGCGCAAACTTCTGGCAGTCCGTCGGAAACATCCTCTGGCGTGAAGGTTAATGTTCACTTGTTTGCAACGCTAACTGGCTGATATCAAACTGGTCACTGGAAGATATCTTTTCGGTGCATCCCAAGTTATTTTTTATAACTACTTTAAGACATGCTCTTTGATCTTCGTCAATTAAAAGTTAAAAACTCTCGCTGTATGACTCGGCATCGTCTCGTTTAGTTTCCCCATCATGGCTTCCGTTCTCGTCTCCCTAGGAAGAAAAATAACACCGTTGCAGGTTGGCAGTCAGTGGATTTGACTGAAATGAAGGGCGAAGTGTAAAAAGCTTCAACGCTTCCCTGACTTTATGATTTAAACGCTATCTTAAGCCTAGAATCAACTTTACATGCAAAGGATCTGACTGTTGTAGACTAGGTTTTTATTATTAATTTGTACAGTCTGCATAAATACCTGTTTATGATAAATAAATGACGACTGGAAGATACTGGAAAATGTAAAACCCCCGAAATATTGGTAAACGTAAGGACAGTGGTTCTTAACCACATTAATAATTTAAAAACAAAAACCAACAAAAAAACAAAACAAAAAGCAAGACGTATTTGGAAATTTAATAAAATAAACAAACGAATAAATAAATAAGCAAGTAAATATGCAAATAATCAAACGATAACTCCTCTTTTCTGCATCCTTAATTTTCCGTTCAAAATCATTGTCCTTACAATCCACTGCTTTCGGCATAGCCAAACTCCCTGATATGCTGACCTTTCAACTGGCGTCAGACGGAAAGATAACGAGTTTAGGTGTACACAAGTGCGTATTGTCTGCCAAGTGTGTGAACACCATAGCGTTTTGTGCCGCAACCCAGGCACTAGTGTTCTATCACCAAGAGTGAACATAACCTTTCTGAAAAATTCTTTATACCTCATCCTCATCGTCGTCATCCTCCATTTCTTGCTCTTCTTCATCTTCATCCCCTTCTTCTGCAGGTTCTTCTGCTGCTGCCTGCTGTGAGGATATTTCCTGCCCATGTAAATCCCTGTTTTTCAGATTTCCAAGCCAAAACGCTTCATGNATATGCAAATAATCAAACGATAACTCCTCTTTTCTGCATCCTTAATTTTCCGTTCAAAATCATTGTCCTTACAATCCACTGCTTTCGGCATAGCCAAACTCCCTGATATGCTGACCTTTCAACTGGCGTCAGACGGAAAGATAACGAGTTTAGGTGTACACAAGTGCGTATTGTCTGCCAAGTGTGTGAACACCATAGCGTTTTGTGCCGCAACCCAGGCACTAGTGTTCTATCACCAAGAGTGAACATAACCTTTCTGAAAAATTCTTTATACCTCATCCTCATCGTCGTCATCCTCCATTTCTTGCTCTTCTTCATCTTCATCCCCTTCTTCTGCAGGTTCTTCTGCTGCTGCCTGCTGTGAGGATATTTCCTGCCCATGTAAATCCCTGTTTTTCAGATTTCCAAGCCAAAACGCTTCATGACACTTGTTGAGAGTAAGCATTGCCTGAAAGACACGCCAAGCCTTAGCTCTGTACTTAAATCTTGTGGCTCTACAGTACTCTGGGAAAACATTTCTAGCCGTCGAGTGAGTAGCCTGCAAACGCAGACGTATTTCCGGTCCTTACAGACAAGCGACGACCGGAAATACACCTGCGTTCGCAGGCTATTGAGTGAGTAACTGAAAAGGGAGTGCTTCAGTAAAAGCAAAAGGCACGTGGTGTGCAACAAAGAATGTCAACACCAAAACGGATCTAAACTGTGCCTCTTTAGTTTCGTTTAGGGTAAGGGTTTCAACTCTTTGACGTCCGCTTTGGTCGTTTTTGGTCCATATGGACCCACGCATATTATCCTTCCTGGACCGATTTAGCTTTCCATTTAAGCCTATATAAAGGAGGTAATTAGCAAAATCATCGAGGATAGATCTTTCCTCTGGTACCTCATTTAGCAAATTTTGACCAATCCTGACAGAGTTACACACAAAAAACAAGCAACATTTGGGGGGAAAAATCCACCGCAAATTTTGCTATTTACCTGCTACTCTTTGCAGATTTTAAAAAATTGTCCTTTTCTGGGAAAGAAAGCCAGCCAAAACTCCATGCGAAAGAAAGACGATAAAGTGGGCAACAGAACTGGTTATATGAAGAAAGGTAATGGAAAAAAGATTAAAGCAAGAAAGTCTGACTTTGCATACCTTTACTCTAAAGACAAAAGTCTCCAGACATTTCTTGACAGCAGGCACATGGTTAGTAAGAGATAAATCTTTGGTCACCTAGAAATCAAGAAGAAAATATAGTAGAAGTGGGGTGGATTTTAACCAAAAGAAATTGATTATGAACTACTAACCTTACTGTGACCACAAAAATGTTGAAGGGATCTTGTACTCTGCTGCAGGTTTTTTAGTAATCCATGAACGTCATCCTTTTATGGAAAGAGGAAAGAATTTATTAATCACCATAATTGCAACAGCAATGATAATAAAGGTTATAACGATCATGATCATGGTGTTGATAGTGAGAGTAATTAGGGCAACGAGAAAACAAATTTTATTACATTAATGACGATGTTGACGCAAATGAGGATGATGACGATGACGACGATAGTGATGATGATGACGTTGATGATGATAAGGATGATGATGAAGACGATGATGATTATGAGGATGATGATGATAAGAATNCGATCATGATCATGGTGTTGATAGTGAGAGTAATTAGGGCAACGAGAAAACAAA